CAATGTTGATTTATTGTCAAAATCAGGTAGGCCTACCGGTAGCAATTTTATCAGCCTGAATTAAATGTTTAATCAACATTAAGCCGGTGATGTTGATTTGCTGTACGGTGTCACAATCAACAACCATAATTTAATAATCAGCCAACATTAGATATAGTTTCCGTTTCAAGTTCACATAGTTGTAATTTCAAAACTTTAATACTTCTCATTCAACACAAAATTGAGTCACCATAACCAATATTTTTTATCAACCAGAACTTTGTAACAACTGCTACGGCATGTGTGTGTGTTCCACATTTCCATCATGTAATCTTCAAGTGAGCAGTTTTTCGATTTAATTCAGAATGAATGTATAAGAAGACTCTTTGCTTTGTTCCTTTCCAGGACTTTCCAACACTATTTCAAGAAAGGGGGATTTTTATACATGAACACTGTCCATGCAGGAATCAATTAACATTCGCATCCAAATCCATAAAATTACACAAAACTGACAAGCCATGGATGACTGTTGAAATTAAGTCCTTGATTAAGCAGAGACAGATACTATTTTCTTGAAGTAATTTAAGATCGAAGTTAATAGGAAATACTGGTAATTGGATGGTAATTTTCCAGTGTGTCTTTTTGAAAATCTGTTTGAAGTGTAAAAAACTCTGTCATTTATGGGTTAAGGGTTTTTCTTTTGAAATTGGCATATAGAAATAACTTTAATTCAAAATTTCCTGACAAAAGTTTCAAGCTATGAGTTAATGTTCATAACAAAGTTGTTTGGCCATCCATGTGTGATATGTATAAATATTTGAAAGGAAAGTTGAGGTCGTAATACACGGTGTACAACCTTTCCCACTATTAAATTTATAGATCAGCAAGTGTGACATGAACGTACAAGAAGTCCTGTACACGGAGTTGACATATCAAAAATTATGCTGAATTCAAAGCACTTCGTTTAACTGCATTATCCCATTATGGGGATCCCAGAATCCTTTTGGAGGAATTTTGGTTCCATTTACTGCATTCCTCAAGTGTGCATCCTGGAATTCATACTGAACATGAAGAGTAAAAAGAGATTCATTTCTACAAGAATGCACGCGTACATACTGTATATGCATAGATCGCTTTTGAGCAGTGCTCTATTCCTTTCATCTTTTCTATGAAATTCTTTTTATTTTTAATGTGCAGATTGTGTTTAAGGGTAAGAAGACAAATGTACTTGCACTTCTGTTGGATGTAACCACACTTCTGTTGGATGTAACCACAGAGCTAAACATAAACACTACAGCCCTAGCTACTCCGCACAAAGAAAATTGAACAGCACCCTGGGTGCCATTAAATTTTGTGCTTGTGGAACATTCGAGATCAGATAGAATGAATATTGAATGATGTACATGTACTTGATTTTTTTTGCCAACATAGAATGAACGTCAATGTATAGCTATGTGTGTTGATTTTATTCTTGTATTATTCCTGTCATCATGTGTCATGTTCACTTATTGGTAAGGATTCAAAATCATAAACTTGTATTCAATATATATTTGATGCTTCAATGTACCTTTGACAACGTGGCATTAATGCCAATTGGATGTTGTGCTTGAAATGCTCATTCAATGTTAGGGACTCCACGTGAGAAAAAAATTTCCAATGTAACCATCATTCAACAGTCGTTCTAATTACGTAACTTTTCAAAATGGTATCAATGTCAATATAATCAATTTGAGGCAAAATAAATTGCAGCTTCAAATAATTTATCACCGCAGGACATTGGAGGCTCTTGTCACTAAGTGGGTCAGTAGTGTTCACTTGCAGTTGCTGGCACGGTGATTTAATGCCTCGAATTAGTTACTGGCGTGACCTTAAAATGGTAGTAGCACTGGAGAGAGTTACTCCCGGTCACTTTTGCTTGAGCAGCTGTGGTGTTTGGTTGGAAAAGAGAAAATCTGTCTGTTTTGCAAAAGCAACCCTCCTCCACCCCTTTCAGTGCCACCAACTGTCAGCTGTAGCTTACTTTTATACCTTTTTTTGCTGCCTTGCAAAAAAATGTTGATGCCATTCCGTCGGTAGTCCACTTTGCCCATTCTAGAGTAATTGACAGCGATCCGGTAAATCCTGTACTCGGTTGCCAGTTTTACGGAGCCAGAAGAGGAATTTCCCCCTTTTTTCTCCTTAATGGTTTTAGGGGGTTTTCGCCCTTCTTAGAATGGCAAAGTCACCGACTTAGGTGGTTGTTTGGCATGAATTTCATTCAGGGACCACAAATTGACCTCGGTTTAAAGGCACTGTATTCTTATTTATGACACTTATGGGAATGTGCCGAAAGGAAAGACCCGATCCCTTCCTTTGTCGGGGGCGTCACTAGATTATTAAGGGCCAAATTAAGAAAAGCCAGTTTCCAGACCCAGTCTTTTCAGGTCTCAATACCCTGTAATCTTGATATTTTGTCTCGGTATCGTGAGTTAAATACACACCTAACTGTATACCTGCAGAATCGAGTATACTAACTCGAAATAGTATTTACCTGAATCATACACGACGTAGTGTTCTGTTCGCCAACATGTAGTTACAGAAAAAACCTTTTTTTTTTGCCCGTGTGCACAAGCTGGGACTCAGTATTGCGCGCTCGCAGGTTTTCATGTGTAGGATCGAGGAAGACACGTACACGAACTACGCGCTTTCTACTTCAAAGCTGCACCTGCACAATTTAAGGATACAAGTACATCTTTTTCTTGAAGTCAATAGTACATGCGGGCACGTTGCAATGTGTTTTGTACATACGATTCTTTTGTACTCTTTGAATACTTTGTGGCTGCACAAAATTCTTGTTGGAAAAACAAACATGTCGGGTTTTATACTTATCTCTGGTGTTTGACTTTACCTATTAAATTTTAATGCACTGTAAATTAAAACAATAAACACAATTTAGTCTAGTGCTGCAGGCGAACCGCCGAACCCAGGCAAAAAACATCAAACAAGGCACTTTTGAACCGAAACAAACTGTTTAGTTCGGATGTACGGCTTTAATAAGGCATTTTATTGATGGCACGCGGGAAAACATACAAAAATACAAGAAAACTTAATAAAAAAAAACACAACGAAAAATGGATAACGAGTTATACAGCGTGCTCCACACGTGCATGAACATACTAAAACTTACAATGGCCTGCATCATGAGATGGTTGTAAAAAGCATGTGGTGAGAATCACTCAGAAATCAACCAAGAACACGCCAACGTACTGCATTGTCGCTGCATAACATTTCTAAATTCTCACTACATCCAATCGTGCTCATGTATATTCAGATGTATTATTTTATTTGCCAATCTACGATAGCCACGCCCTTACGTTCCATATTAAGGTAATGACGTTCCATATTAGGCCAATGGTCTCATAAATGGAATGCAAAACAAATTTTGGTTGGATGCCGATCACAGTCGGACTCGCGCTCGATCCAAAGCATCCCTGGATGAAAATTTTGCC